ACGTGGATGTGGTAAAACAGACCATCCAAGCTCAAGAATTTTTTCTTGAGTCACCCTTGCTGTATGTGGTCGCGCATTGTCGTGTAAAAGAATGACGTTTTTGCGATTGACGAGTGCAGGACGCTTTCCATGGAGTTTCTCTTGTACTCTTTGCAACTGCTGAACGTATCTATTCGCAGTAATCGTTAAATTTGACTTCAACAACTCGTGGTGAATTATTCCTTGACAATCGCACCATACACACAATAAAATCTTTTTGCCATGGATGTTTGCTTTCGGATCTGGTAGGGGTGGTTGATCCTTATCAAGCCACTGTCTTTTGCGGACTATATTGTCATAGGTAACCCATTTTTCATCGCCTGTTACAATCCTGTTTAAAAAAGGCTCAATTTTTACCCGTGAGAGCAGACTTGTGGCGATTGACATGCGATCTTCTTTATTCCGTTCACTGAGATTGTGAGGTACCCATACTCCTAACTTGCTGACTTTCCCTAATTTCTCCAGGTGGCGGTTAACAGTTGATTGTGATGTATTCAACCTTTCTGCTATACCTATTGTTGATTGACGTGGATTTTGCTCCAATATTGCCTTTAAAAGGTTGTCGTCAAAGTCGGAAGGACGTCCCGCCCTCGGTTCGTCTTTTAAGGTCGTATCTCCAGAACGGAATTTTATAAACCAATTTCTAACTGCCCGATCAGTTATTAGTCCTTCACCATATACACTGCATATTTTTTCAGCTGTCGCCTTAGCACTATTGCCTTGTTTAAATTCCCAAAGCATTACATGACGAATATGTACTTTTTGACTCTCCATTTCAGAGGTTAAAAAAAACAGTTTATCGTAACGTGTTCACACAAAACAGTTGACAAAAGATTAACTGAAGCCTCGTCTATATAGTGAAAACAAAAACTTGTTGTCATGGTAACTCATAGCGGGTACATACGAACAATAGATTCTACTTAGCTGCATCGGAAGTTACTTATGACTCGACCTAATATTTCCCTTCTTATTTTTATTTCTCCTTATTTTATAATTTTTACCCCCTTTATGTTTAGTTGGTACTGAAACTTGACTTTTTAACACTAGATTCTCCTAATTATAAATTCCCCTATATTTATACTTATGTATATTACTATATAACCCTCCACTTAAATGAAATCTCCCATGCAACCTCCTCCCCCTATGCATTCCCGCGTTATTCCCCCCCCACCTTGTCCCCTGGTTTCAGGGACATCTCGTCCTCCAGAATTACATCCGAAGATCAAACTGAATCCAACTCTTTTTCCTAATTGAATGATTAAGTGACAAGGGAAATAATACAATATTATATATCAGGTAACCCTCTATTTAAACTTTTACCCCTTTGACTTAGAGAGTCTGTCCCTACCCCATTTCCCCCTTCCTGCTCCCTTAATTATTTCCTAAATTATTCCCGTACACCCCTTATGCTTGTCCTTTAAACCCTCATATTCCCCTCCCCCTGTTCTGCCACTCCCTAATTCTGTTCTACCTACTATTATCATAATCCCGACTGTTTGGCACAAGGATTCGTAATGTGTGACATGCTGTGTATCTTACCTATCCAATTTAATCCAATGTAATGACCTCTATTGGGTCATCGTAAACCTCCCTTATCGTGGCTGTACCACCCTCCCAATGATGCTGCCACGTCTCGTCTTGTTGAAAAATGAGGGTGACATCTTCGCTTGTCATGATGCCCTTATCTCCCACCATTGAAATATCGAAGTGCCTGTTGCGAAACAGGCGCTCCCATTCGCTACCATCCAGGCCCTCCTCTTCCTCCTCGACCTCCTCTTCTGGAGATGGAGGGTCCACCCACTCTTCCTCTGTACATGCCCTCCCCTCCATACTAATTGGGGACGTAATCAGGCTGTACCTGGTTTCCCTATTCCCCTCGTTCTCCTCCACATCCGCATCACCCCCCCCCCCTCCCACTCCCCATCCCCCCACTTTGGACCTCGTAGCGGCTATCCTCCAGCTCGTTCTCCCAACTTATCCTGAGTAACTCCTCCTCGTCATCCACATCTCTTGACCAATCACTCCACGTGGTTGGCGTCTTTGGTCCCTCATCCACCTCCCTTCCTTGTAACATCCTCCTTCTCTCCGCCTCGGCCCGCCTTTCCTCCCCCATCATACGGGATTTAACTCCCGCCCGATGCTTCTTGTCTCGATTGATACGCTTTTGCCTTAAGCGCAGCGCCTGCTTGCGCTTCAGGCTCATTGATTTCTTGTGTTTAGCCATTGCCTTGGTACCTGTGTTAAATGTTCACCTGATGTTCATCTACTGTTTGCCTCCGTACTTTTACAATCCTTTGATCCTTCGTCAATATTTAAGGTCCGTGACGTATTGAAGTGACTTCCCTCCTGAGTGGCGCTCCTTAGTGCAAAACCATCAAGGTGAGCTATACCACTCAAAGATGGGATGGCGGCTTGCCATTCCATATTATAAACGACTCTCAAGGCATCGACCAAGTTCATCTCCTGGACTACCAGAGCGTTCTCCTCGGCACATCCATCTCAAAATGGATAGCGCTCGGAAGATGTTGTAGGTGGCTCTCGATAAAGGCTGACAGCGCCTATAGCCCATTCAATTGGCTTAAGTCTAAACTCACTATAAAAGTAAGCATCCTGACAAGCGTCTATTCCGCCCTTGCGATACATGTTTTGATCCAGTCGGGTGTCAATCCTAATATACTTGCGACCCGTCACCATACAGGCCGGACTACCTCGCGCATTCGTGACATCTGGCGGTGGTCCAATCCATTTGGACGCCTGCTTTTCAATGGATGAAAAGAATGCTGTTACTTCAAGAACGTCCTGCCTCAAATGTGCGGATGTATAGTTGTCCGGCATGATGTCATTTGGATTGATCAAGGTATAATCGTCATTATAGACCGCTCCCGGAATTGGATTCTCTTCAATGAATCGCCGTCGAACTGGGGCGCTAGAATCCGCGTCAGCGAGAAACAATACAGTGGCTCGAAGATTATCAAGATACACTCGTCCAGAATTTAGGATGAAGATTCCATCCTTCACTCTATCGGGCTGAAACACAGGTACATATTCCCGTGAATCAATGGAAAAGATCCCGAGATGCTCAATATAACTGCCAATTGCTAGTGGCAATGGCCCTAATGCACGTAGGGCAGCAGTCCGTGAAGGGTCCTCATCAATTTTTCGGACAGTCTGAGAATTGGACATTCCGCTCAATCCCTCAGAGTATGCTCTAGACATTTTCTCCTCGATAAGAGCCAAAGTGACTATACAACGAGAGTACAGGAACTGTGTTGGGATGTGGCCTAGTTTTCAGCTTTTTAAGGCTGGCAACTGAAGAAGCCACCACAAAACCGGCACCACGTGTGCTTATCTGCAGTTTCTTTTTGTACGCTATTTCGCGTTGAACCAATGCTTCTAATGCGGGGACGTCATCAAGAACATATTTACTAATTATCTCACTGTCCTTAGCCGCTATCGTTTTCTTATTTTCAAACGACCGCTTGGTTTTTGCGCGCCTAGTGTCGCGTGCACGCTTCGACTTCGAATGATATTTTGTCTTTACATTGCTAGAAGCTGGTCTAGCTACGCTATCAGAACTAATTTCTGCGTTTGCACTGGTACTGTTCATATTGGTGTCTGCCGTCGGAGTTCGATCCTATTGTGTCCATATTCATAGTCATTATGGGCCCTTGCGGGCGGGCCTAACCCACTCCCAACTTGCCCAGTCGTCATATGTATTCCCATCAGTTGCCAGCTCACCGCGTTCGCCCTCCGCTCTCAGCAAACTGGTACCCGCAAAGCGGTTCCAGCTACTGAGGCGGAGACCCGGGGACCCCACGTGGAGGTGCGGTGAGTGGACTTTGAGCCGGTCGGGCCCCCAACTTCGCCGAAATTCCCCGCACCGGACGGTTTGGCGGCATTGGTGGAACATCAGCTCCATCGGAGTAAGCTCGCCCAGGCGACGTGCCCGGACGAGACCCTTCCAGCCCTCGTGTCCCCATCCTTCACCCTACTGAGTTATCTACACCGCATGCCACTACTCCACCCTGCACCAAACGTCATCCAATACTACGTCTAACTACTATTTTTATATTATTATTTTTTTTTTTATACATGTTTTATTTGCAAAATCTTTTTCCCTTCCTTGTTCCCATAACCTCCTATTTCCTTTCTTATATACCTGACCCCTTTTCCCCTGTATAACTGAAAATCTCCCACCCTATCATTGCCTGAAGATATTTGGGATCTATTGGGGGGGGGGGGGGGGGGGGGGGGGTTTGTGAGGCCGTGATTCGCCGAAGGCACTGAAAGTCCGGTGACCTTGTCGATTAGTCGGCGCTCCTGAACGTCGGGCAAGAGGCCGAATCGCGCTAGGAAGTCCGCACCGATAATCGGACGCTCAATGTCTGCAATGATAAACGTCCATGGGAATGCCCGGCGTAACCTTAAATCTACGCTTATCACTATTTGTCCATACGTACTGATGAACGACCCGTTTGCCGCCGTTAGCAGAAAAGTTGACTTCGACCGCGAACCACTCACTAACCGTCGCGGGTACACGCTTACCTCAGCCCCGGTGTCGACCAGGTACTGGGTTTTTGTTGTCGCGTCGGTCACGAAGAGGCGACGTATTTGTTGACCAGGGCCGCTTGTCGCCATCAGCGGCTCTGTTTGCCGTTTCCCGGTATGTAAGAGCACGGCTGGGTTCATTTGCTGGCCTTGTCGTTGAAACGCCAGTGGTACCAGCAGACGCCTTTCGGGCGCTCCTGTGACCGCGCTCTGGATTGCCTACGATACCGACCGCCGGATGAACTTCGCTGCCTGTGGCGCCCTCTGCCCTCCAACTTGGTCGTCACCAATGCCGCGATCTGCTCTACGAGGGCGTTGATGTCGCCGATCGCTGCTACGTTGTTTGCCGACGCCGTTGGGTGGACCTGCGCCGGCGCGACCTCGCCGATCCTGTCCGCCAAAACCGCCACCTTTTATAGCTCGACGCCGTCTTGTGTGGCCAGCACCGACTGCATGAAAACCGGCAACCTGCTCGGCCAAAGGGTCCGGATGAAATCTTCCGGCACATCGTTGCCCGCGAGGCTCCTCGTGTGCCGCAAGAATTGCGACGGCGTCCTGTCTCCTCGTTCCTCGTGTTCGAGGAGTTGCTTGATCTTCCTTTGCTTGGAAGTGGACAGCCGCGCGACCAGCTCGTCCTTAAGCCTCGTGTACTTGTTCTCCGCTGGCGGGGTCAGCAGGATGTCTTCCACCTCTTGCGCGGATTTGGCGTCGAGTTGCGCCACAACGTGGTGGAACTTCGTGTCCTCTTGCGTTATCCCGCGCAAAACGAACTGGGCGTCCAACTGCGAAAACCATAACGCTGGTTTTTCCGGCTAAAATTTTGCTACGTGCACGGCTACGGCCCAATTTTGCGCGTTCGCTTCCATTCCGATCACGTCGGGATCACCAAGTCTAGCGGGGATGCGAGGGAACTAGGGAGAATGATTGCACACGTGGTTGGCGTTATGACTCTCTGTATTCTCCGACACGACTGCGTCTCTGTTACGACGCCGAGAGTGCCTCGGGTTAATATCCTTTTTTTTTTTTTTTTTTTTTTTTTTTTTTTTT